TCTGGTTCTCCAAAATGATTTGCATAAGAAAAAGATGTCACCTCAAAGACTTAGAGAAACTTGAGTATAAAATGATGTAGGTTTGCTGGTTTTGTTGAAGAGGTGGATTTTGATTATTTTCTCTGAGTTCACTGTTTATTTAGGACTTTGGAGTAATTTTTCTAATTTGTATTTTTCTAGGAAATCATCTCAACTAAAACAATCACATACCATGTTTCTGACCAAATCATGTGCGTTCTTAGTCTCTTTTGCCTTGTGCCATCTTGGTCAAATTCTGCCCATTTTCTTAGGCATTCTATAGAACTAAGTTTGGTTTTGTAGATTAGTGCTACCATTCCTTTACACTGATTTCATTAATTTTCGAGTGGGGTCTCATGCAGTCCTGTTTGACTTAGAACTCTTTGTAGGCCACGCTGGCCTCAAACTCACAGCGACATCTGCCTCTGGCTCCAGAGCGCTGGTACTGAAGGGGCGAGCTACTGTGCTGATTTCATGAAGTTTTGCTCTTCCATTTAGTTTATTCTCTCTGACTATGTTTACTTTTCTGATTCTTGTTTGTAAACTTGTTTTTCTATTTATTGTTTGAGAATTTCATATATGAATAAATGTTTTGATCAAATTGATCCCCAATATCTCTGATTATTAAATTGAATAAGTAATATTTATTTCCTAAAGGTCTTAGTTTATAACCTAAGAATTTCATTTAAATCCATTCTCTGTTTTATTATCCCCAGAGAGGATTATTTGCTCAGCTTTAACCTTAGACATCTGTTGAGGTCTTACTCTTCCTTATGACCAGTTTTAAGTATTCAGAGAACATGCATCAGAGTGTCTTTGTGGATGTGAGATCAGATTCATAAACCAAAGCTCCACTGTCAGCTTGGCTGTTCAAATCATCTCTATCGTTAGTGTTTTGGCATTTGTTTATTTGAGTTTTGTTTTTTTAGCTACTATGGTAGCTTGAGTGTAATTGGCCCCCATAAAGTTATAGGGAGTGGCACTATTAGGAGGTGTGGCTTTGTTGGAGCAGATATGGCCTTGTTGGAGGACTGTGGGGATGGGTTTTGAGGTCTCATATATGCTCAGGCTACACCCAATGTCTCAGTCCATTTCCTGTTGCTTTCTGGTCAAGATGCAGCCACCACCATTTTTGCCTGCATGCAGCCATGCTCCCTACCATGATGATAATGGACTGAACCTCTGAAACTGTAAGTGAGGCACTTCAATTAAATGGTTTTTTTTTTAATCAAACTGGACTCTCTGAATGTGGCTGGCAATGAGGGCTGACTGAGAACCCAAGGACAACGGCATAGTGTTTTGATTGTACTGCATGGACTGGCCTTATGGGAGCCTCATCTGTTTGGATGCTCACCTTCCTAGACCTTGAGGGAGTGGGGAGGACCTTGGACTTCCCACAGGGCAGAAAACCCTGACTGCTCTTAGGACTGGAGAGGAAGGGGGAGAGGGAGTGGGGGAAGTGGGAGGGTATTGGGAGGAGGGGAGGAAGTGGAAATCTTTATAAATAAATAAAGAAAAAAGAAAAAACAGAGTTGCTGTAGAAACCTTAATTAAGACAGCTATCTATTTTAGATTGTATTGTTAGATAAACTCAGGGTCATGATTTTCTGTCACTTGTATTTTTTTTCAACACACGACATTACTCTTTATTATTTTTGTGGACTAATAAACAAGCCTTTTCTTTAGCTTATGACTTGTTTGGTATAGTGGTTTGAATAGGTATGTCCCCTATAGACTCATGTGTTTGAAAGCTTGGTCCATAGGGAATGGCACTATTTGGAGGTGTGGCCTATTGGAGTAGGTGTGGCCTTGTTGGAGGAAGTGTGTCACTGTGGAGGCGGGCTTTGAGGCTGCATATATGCTCAAGCTACAACCAGTGTGGGACACAGTTGCTTCTGCTGCCTTTGGATCAAGATGTAAAACCCTCAGCTCCTTCTCCAGCACCATGTCTGCTGCACACTGTCATGTTCTATTATGATGATAATGAACTAAACCTCTGAAAGCAATCCAATTAAATGTTTTTCTTTATAAGAATTGCTGTGGTCATGGTGTCTTTTCTAGCCATAGAAATCCTAACTAAGACACTGGGTATGCTTATCTTCCATAACACATTCTCTCAACAGAGCCTTATGTCTAGAAAGTTCAAAATGATTAAGTTCTTCTATCTTGTTCTCAAAGTAAATAAAGCTTTAGCTGCAGACTGGAAATGCCCTCCATCTCTGCCATTGTTACCTGGAGTCTTAGACTTTTTTTTTTTTTTTTAAACACATTGAAAAGCACAGGGTTGGGAGATAGCTCAGGCTTGAAAGCACAGTGACCCAAGCTTGACCCCAGAACCCAGGGGTCAAGGCACAGTGGATCAAGACTATAACCCCAGCACTGGAGACAGGAGGACTCCAGGCTTCACTGACCAGATGACCTAAATGAATTTGTAAGATCCAGGTTCAGGGAGAGAGCCTGTCTCAAAAATAACATAGAGAGAGATTGAGGAAGACTCCCTACACTGACCTCTGACCTCAAAACACATGCATGTAGACAGCTGCACACTCACACATGTAAAAACATGCAAATACATACCGACATACACAAAGTCTACTAAAATAGCCATGACTTAATTCTACCTATATGCTATCAATTTGGTGATTTGCCTCTCTCTGGCATCTCAGGCTTAGCTGGAGACTCAAGCTTTTTGATGCTGCATTTGCTTTGAGGGATTTTTCTTAGACTGAACAGCGTTGGTAAATGCTTCCTTGTGCACCTGAAATTGTCTGTTTTACTCTCTTTCTCTCTACCTTTGTAGACACTATCCTGTTAAAGCCAAGTAGGGTTGTCTGCTGTGGTAAGAGTTTATATGAAGTATGGATATGTTTACCATGGTGGACCACAGTCATCTTCCCTCTTGAGTGACATTTGAGTAGTCCTAGGTAGTTGGTCCTACTTTTTCTCGATGCTTTTGAGATACTTGTCTGCTGTCCTGTACCTGACTGCTGATAATTTCACTGCCAAGAATGCCACTTTTGTGGCCACATACTCTATTTCTCTGGTCAACACTATTATGTACCTGTCATTTTTAATGACCCTCTTGCTCTGTCAAAATGAGACTAGGATAGGATTTCTGTATCTGTCCTTTCCCACAGAGCAACAGTGCCCAGCCTACCAAGGACAAGCTGACCTTCGATGTTCCAGGTTAAAGTTCACCCTTGCTATGCGGCTGCCATATAGGTCTCTTCCCACCCACCCAGTCTTATTTCAGCCCTTTCATCCTTCTTGAAACACGGTTACTTTTCTATTCTTAGGGGTCTAACTCGTTTCTTTCTCTTGTGTCCAGAGCAGACAGACTCACTTTGGTCATTCTTATACTGCTATATAAATTTAGTTTAGTTAAGCCCATAACAAATGCATGCTCTGGTTTTTTGTTTCTTTGTTTGCTTGCTTTTTGCTTTTCAAATTTTGTTGGCTGCCTCTTTAGTTTGTTTGAGGCAGGGACTGGCATAGCCTAGACTGGCCTTGAACTTTCTGATGCCCCTGCCTTCACTTCTTGAGTGCTGGAGTCACTGGTAGGGCTCCTATGCCTGGCTTTGCTGAATGATATTTTAAACATTTGATCTATGTGGCTTGTGGCATTTTTATTTGGAGGTCTACTTCCTGTAGAAAAAGGTCTTTTCCATTTCTTTTACTCTTTCCTGGTCAGCGTCTACTCTTTCTGTCTAGCACCCTGGTGGTTGCCTCAACTCTTAGAGTTCCCGGTCTAGCACCAGGTCGCAGCTAGAAACTGCACTTTGCTTTTATTGGTTTATTTCTAGTTGGAGGCCCCATGTACTGTACCCTTAAATGCTGAGTATTAAGCCTTGCCCCTACTGCATCCTTCAAGAAGCCTCTTCCCCCTTATCCCCCAATTGTCCCCTAGAAACCAGGCTCTCAGCCACCAATGCCTGCTCCCCCTGCCCCCACCTCAGGCTCTCTTTGTGTTTCTGGTCTAAGGTGTTAAGACATGAATCTGGTCTGATATCCAGCTCTGACTTGTTTAGACTTCTCCCTCTATGGCTTATCCATCAGTGCTATGGGTTTGCACAGCACACATACTTGTATGTAGAATGATATGAATTGACCAAGCATCCTGACATCAGTACCAACAATGCTCAGAAAGAGCACACGTCTGGACTGGGCTAGTCGAGGCAATCCTTGGGGATTGGGGAATGAGACCTTAGTGGGGGCTCTGGTAGGATGGCCGGGGTTTGGATCAGCAAAGAGACAAGGGACAAGGATCAGGATAGTTAAATAGGGAGGCACAAGGAGAGGAACCTCCTTACAACAGGAGTCTGATGAAAAGGTCACAAGGATCAAGGCTGGAGCGAGCAGTAGAACGAGGAGATAGATGTACCAGGGGTTCAGTCTGAGACGACGCAAAGAACCAGTGCCAACAGCCACTTACTGTGCCTTAGTTCTCCTGCCAAGGCTTTACTGAGGCCTTTGCGTGGGTGATCTCATCTGAGCCAAACAATCCTATAAAACATATATGTTATTTATATCCACTTGAGCTCAGTGAGATTAAATAATTCTGAGTTACAGGAAGAGACCAGGCTCCAATTTCCAGAATCCACAGGTGTTTCCCTCGCAGGACAACAGGTTTTTGCAAGGTAATGGAATCATGGATGGAACCCTGGGAGTCCCTGGTACCACTCAGGTGTCGTTAAATCCAACACAGATGTCCTTAGCGGAGAAGCAGAGGAGGTGGCATACACAGGAGAGGGGACACTACGGGAGGCAGAGGAAGACACTGGACTGACGAGGCTATAAGCATGGACTGAGGCTGTCGCCTCGTGACTGCCGGGCGAGCTGTGCGCTTCTGGCAGCAGGTTTGACCTCAGTCCAGTGAAGCTGACCTTGAATCTCTGGCCTCCAGGCAATGACAGGATGTAGTCTGTCCTGTCGATTTAAGTCACCAGGACTCTGGCCTCCTCTCACGTGACCTTGACAAACAAGTAAGACAGAGCGGCTGTGTGACTCTAGACTCCCGGGGACACCCTCTGATGTAGATGACTATTCTAGAAAGAGCTAGACAAAGGGAAGCAGGAGCAGAACTCAGAGCTGGGACAACACACCCAAGCCCTGCCAACGTACCTCGGGTGAGCATCAATCCTAACCGGCAAGCCCTGCCAACGTACCTCGGGTGAGCATCAATCCTAACCGGCGTTCTGGCACCTGTCCCTCAGTGGTCAGCGGGTGGGTCCAGTTTGAGAAGAGATGGCCACAGCTAAGAGCCTTCGGCAGAAAATGGGGTATTGAGTGATAAAGTGCCCACTGTGGGCAGAGTGGGCAGAGTCCATCCATGACTGTAAACAGCTTCCCCGCTTGCTCTCCAGGAGCCCAGTGACCTCCGATCAGCTTGTTAATCCAGAAAGCTTCCAGGTCCAAACACAGGCCTTAAAGCAGACAAGATCCAGACTCCTTTATAATCCTGGAGCACGTGGAAGGGGTTTGCAGTGCGCCACTCCGAGGCATGCCTATCAGCCCCAGTCAGGACATGTGGCTGGTTTTATATCTGTAGTGGCCCTGGAGTCTCTGTAGCTCTCCGACTAAAGCCACCTCTTGGTCATTGTGACATAAGCCTTGGCTATGGAACTGGTTTCTCTGGGGTCTAAGCCCTGATAATGTTTTAATGGAGTCACTGTCTTCTCATTGGTGAATGTCATACCTTCCAGGGCTGTGGTTAAGAACTTGATGTCTAGATTCTGTCACTTGGAGAACTGGTGACCCTGGGCTGTTCCCCAACCATAACATGTGTTCCTATCAGTTAGATTTAGATTTGTATTTGGTGAATCCCACTTGCATGACTTCTGGTCCATCAGCAGTGTGTGTGTGTGTGTGTGTGTGTGTGTGTGTGTGTGTGTGTATACGCGCTCATGAGTGTGTGTATGTGCATATGCATGTGTGTGTGTGCATGTGTGTATATGTGCGTATGCATGTTATGTGTGTTCCTACAATCCCTTGGTGTTTCGCAAAGGACTGAAGATTTGGGGCAGTTAAGGGAGTAGGGAACATGAAGGGAAGGGATCCAGGCTCTCTCTAGCTCAGGCGTGTCCACTTTGTACTCAATCGCATGTGGAATCATGTCTCCCCTGAATGGTGACTTTTCTAAGGATTTTGGTGGGCTAATTCTGAGTTTCCCTGAAATAGGACAAAATATTATGTTTAAAATTCTGGAGAGAGAAAATACCGCTGAAGGCTGTCAAGCAAGCAATGCAATGAGACAGGAAGGCGCACAGTTTGGAACAAACTCAGTGCCCACACTGTAGGTCGCAGATAGTGATGGCATCACAGAACAGGGGGATTTACAAATCAGGCCTAAGCAGGTTCCACAAAGAGCTCATTGGCGGACTGTGATTTCAGACCTGAGCGGCTCTGGGGCCTCCCCGCCCAGACCTCCCCTTTCAAAACTATTGCAGCTCACAGAGACGCCACAACACCTGTCTGCTGACTTTCAGCCTCAAGGTAGCTCAAGTAAAAGAAAAGAAAAAGCATTTGGCAACATGGCTGCTAACTTGATGCAGTTTCTAGGCCTCCACGCTTGAGGAACTTCTAGTAGGAACCCAGCTCTCCCCACGTGGGAGCACATTTACTATTCACGTTAGGCGGAGACCAAACAGGAAGAGCCGTCTAGGGCCAATGCTTTCACTCACTACATGTGATTTCCTTAAACTACTTAGTTGAATAAATTATTCACCATTGGCTGTATGGATTGGTGTCAGATGTATTTTGAATTAATTCATTCAGTAATCCCTAAATTGGCAAAAACTCAAGGTGTAATACAAACACTTCGTTTCTAGCAATGAATACATTTAGAGATAATATTCTAGAGAAAATAGAAAGATTATATAAAACAGCAGAGTGTTTTATAAAAAAATTGAACCAACAAAAGCTGAGAAAACCTTTTTGGAAAAGATGTAAAACCATGAGCAAAAATTTCTAAATTAACAGCTATATGCATTTTTTTTTATGAATGGCAACATTTGATCTCTTAAGCAATCTGATTTCCCGCAAGTTAATTCACAATTCAGAGCATTTCCAGAGTTAATCCAAGCAAGGTTGCTCCTGAGGAGCAGATCATCAGATTCAGAAGGAAGCATAAAGAGCAAGCCAGATGGTTCTGAGAAGGGTGGAGGGGTGAGGCACCTGTTATAGCCACACAAGGACAGCAAGGGGCAGGCATAAAGGGGACTGTCCCACGGGAGAGGGGAGAGGCCACGTGGTAAAGGAACAGCCAATGATGGGAGCTGGGAAGTAGCATCGTGGCCACAGAGTTTGCTCAGCTGAGATGCAGAGATCTGAAGTACAAATAGATGTATATAGTGGAATTAAACTTACATCCTATTTTTCCAAAAGACCCATAAATTAGGGGTGAAAATTAAACAGAAGTCTAAAAGCCCATGTCACTGAGGAGTGTCTTTCATACAGAATACAATATTAACAAATTTCCCAGAAATAAGCGAATCATAAAAAATGACTGATGTACTAAAGTAGGAAATTCCGAGAAGAGAGCTGTGAGTGAAATGACAAAGGACGCACAATGGACGCCATTTCACCAGGGAAGTGGCCATTAAAAGGTAGCAGCTTGAATTTTTTAGAACCTGGAAGGCTCTGCCCTGCCCGAGTGTCGGCCCTCTGTGGAGGGACAGTGGCTTACAAAACACCCGGGCCGAGCATCACTGGACGCATCAGAAATAACTCAAGCTCACACTTCTTAGGAGAGATGCAGTTTTCTTGAGCCATTCTTTACAATGAACAAACTTAAAGGATGTAAATGCCAATCATGAAATAGCTATATATTATATGCATATCTATGTAATGCAAAATCCTAAGTCATTTCCTGAATTGACTAGACGTTGACTAGAATTGCATGCATCCTCAAGATAATAGCACGTGAGGAACTGTGTTGACGTCGACATGTGGGGTGTGAGCCTACTGTTCTATCTGAAATTGAAGCGATGCAAACTCCATACTGAGAGTAAAAGGGAGAAAAGCGTGTGTGAGAAAGGCGAGTGATGATCCAGGACACATACTACCTCCGTGGTGAGAGGAGCGAGCACGTTCAGACAACAGGAACTGTTGTCCAACAGGAACTGAGGCAGGATGCAGTTTCTGCTGGAAGAATCTCAGGAGGTAAACGGAAGAATTGTGCAATGGTCTGACAGGGCCAGCTGACAGGCACAGGGGTGTCCAACTCACGGCCTGAGGGCTGTATACAGCCAGGGAAGATGGGGATGTCTAAGCCATGGCCCGTGGGCTGCATATTGTTAGTGTAGCTATGAACTCAGCCCAACAAACAATAAACTCACTTAAAATGTGAACATTTTGTGATTAATTTTGGAACTCAGAAAGCTATACGTGGTAGCTGCATGATCCTGGAGCGTGAACGTTTCTGATGACAATGTGGTACAGTGAACCCAAAAGGATGGACATCCCTGATGAAAGCTTTCCCAAAGATCAGAGGAGGCTGACAGAATGTGACAGTCCACATCATTGTCGCTTGGTTGTGTAATAGAGAAAAGAATGCTGCAATGTCATCTGGGGAACTGAAGCTGACCTGTACCCACCGACCCACACCCATTTCTGTGTTTTCTAAATGTGGGGTGCACATTAAAATCAGGTCAAGTCATTAAAGTGCTTCCCTTCTAAAAGCCGAATGGTGTGGCCTGGAGACCTTGCTTTGTTTTACCGTTGGTCTCTGCTGTCCTTGCAGTCTGCACACACATACACACACACACACACACACACACACACAGATGCTCCCCGACTTGGGTTGATGTTCGCAGTCATCATTCTGAACCTGACTCATTTGGTCTGTGATTGACATACTGAGACCATGCATCATGCACACACACCGGAAAGACTGGTGCAGAGTTGTGCTCTGTGCCCCTCCTTGCTGCCTAGCGTCACAGACGCTTGTGGCCCTGCGTGGAGACAGGATTCTGGGGACCAGTCTATGGGCCAGTCAAGGCTAGTGTGACGTGATTCCATTAACGGGGAAAAAGACCTCAGAGACTGAGATGTTCTGTTTGAATTTGACTTGTGTTGGGCGAAGAGGGGGAGTAACAAGGTCCTAAGAAACACACATGACCAGTGGTGTGTGCTCTCCTAGCCTTCCTTGCTCCTGTGCCGTCACGTCAATCACTAGTAGCTGAAGCTGAGATGGCATCCCAGAAGCAGAGGGAAAATGAGACCCTCAGGTCATTTTTCTGGAAGTGCTTGCTGACTCAGAAGCAGAAGACAGAATGACGGTAAAACACACAAGTGTCAGGAAGAGGAGCAAAGGCGTCAGACTGTTCTGGGCAGCCTTGCCACCGTTCTTTCAGAGAGTAAGTGCAGATGCGTAGGACAGCCATGAAAAGGAATGCAAGCCAGCCCAGCATTTCCCTTCAGACACAGTCTTATATTTGCATTTAAAACTGGAATCATACTTTTCATAAAACACATGGAAACATTCATGCTAGCAGTTTAAACTTCACCTTCCTGTGAATTTAGAAGTAAAGAGTAGATCACAGCAGCATGGTGGATTGAAAGGGAGGGAAGGAAGGGCAGTGCTTATATTTTACTCAGCAGAACATCTTCCTGTTTTGAAACGTTCTCATTTCTGTTTTGCACTGTCCTGCACGTGCAGCTCCTGGGCAGGCTGCACGGGACCTGCGCTCATGGATAGATGACAAAGGTCAGAGGAGTGTGGCATGTGCCCCTGGAAGGAAGCGAGAATGCAGAGCCCGACAAGGTTCCCCACCAGGGACAGACTTCTGCCTATGAATAAACAAGTTGGTTCTTATCTTCCAGGATGAACACAAGGTGTGCTTCTGGATGCACAGATCATGACCTCCTGATCAAGGTTCATCCCTTCCAATTAGAAGTTCAAGATCACCCTTAGCTACGCAGCAAGTTCAAGCCCAGCCCTGAATCCACAAGACCGTATGGAAAACAACACCATTCTTGTACTGGAATGTTTAATGGTCTACATCTCCTTCCTAGACTCCTGAGCAGTGAGCTGCGGCCATGGGATAGAATTCTCGGCAGTGAACTGACATGTGTGTTTTTCCTGACCTCTTATGTCACCTGTCTGCCCCAGGTCTGGGATTCTACGTCACTACTTAATTCTACTTAATTCTCCCTTTTTCTTTGCTGATCTCAGGCAACAACTTTTAAAATGACATCTTCCTGGTATACATTCTGTTGATGCCATGTGAGGTCCACTTAGAATTGAAATAAAGCTTTTGTCCTCATTTCCAGGAATCCATTACATGCAAGCGAGAGCTGTCTAGGTTTTGTATTCTAGACTTATTAAATGCTATTATAGAAGTTCAGGAGGGACCCCTCAGCTGAGCTATTCCTGTCAGAGAGGATGCTGACTGAGAGTGAGACAGGTGTGGGAGGTGCCGGAGTGTGTTTGGGGTGGGGTCTCCGGCTCTCCTCCCCATGCTGCTGCAGAGCCCTGGCTTGTAGCCTCCCTGGCCTCCGTTCTGCTCTCTAAGCATGGCTGCCATCAGCTTCGCTGGGCTATGACAGGGCTCTGGTAGCCCCAGGGTGCATGGAATCTGCTTAAAGATTCCGAGAGAAGTAATTCAGCAAGAATAGCATGCCAGTGGTTTTATTTTAAGTAGGACTTGGGTATCAAAGGGGAAATTTGTTCCCATCCACTTTGTGAGTAATGGCTCCTGCTATTCAGATTCGTCTTTCTTTCCTTGCCAGAGATCATTTTGTTGAACTAGGACTAGAACGTTCGTTCGAGTGCTTGAGCAGGTAATTGATTAAATTTATTGATGAACATATTCAAAGGAATGCTATTAAAATAGCCATTTTTATAAAATATGCATTTATTAGATTTCTAGGAAGCAGCATATACAAAATCAGCCACACATGTGAAAATAAATTAAATATTTTTCAGTTTAAACAAAATAAATCTTATCTTCAAAACTACAGAGATTAAACTTCATTAGCATATTAAACATTAATGCACAGCAGACTATTATAATGTAATATATTATTTATGTTCAGCTAGACAAATCAAATCATGTCCTTTGGGAAGAACGTTCTCTGCAGTAACGACTGCACGCGAGCGGCTGGAGGGTGGGACGAGGGTGAGTGCTGGCCTTGGATCTGTCTTTGGGGTTTTTAAAGAAAAAAACCAGTGCAACTTAAATGAAAAAATTAAGTGACATATCCTACAAGCGTTTGTTGGGTGTACGCTATGCGAAGATATTGTGCTGAGGCTGTAGAAGGGAATAAGAGGGTTTCCAAGAAATAAGACTTTACATTCTGCTTATGTAGAATGTGTGGTTTTGAGACAGGGTCTTACTTTGTATAGCCCAGGCTGCCGTGGAACGTTTTAAATAGCCGAGAGTGTTCCCCAACTTGCAGCAATCCTCCTGCCTTAGCTTCCGGAGTGCTGGGGTTACAGGCGTGACCTGCCATGCCCGCCTTACACTGGTACACAGTTTTTCACATATGATAATTGCTCACACATTTTTCTGTGTTGGTCCCCACGAGGCTCCCGTGGGGTTAAGGAGGCTATCATAGCCCATTTCATAAATGGGAACACTTCGTGCATTTCCTAGGGCTGCTGTACAAAAGCCGTGAGCTTGGCGGCTGCAAACAACACAAGGTCATTTTCTCATAGTCTGAAATCAAATTAGCTGAGCCCTGATCCCTCTGAAGGCACTCAGTCTGTTTTATGTCACGTTAGGCAGGATTTTCTCTGGTGTAGCAGAGTTCCACAGACAACACCGCAGGAGGAGGGTTCACTTAGCTCGTGGTTTATCCGCCAAGAGGAGAGAGCGTGGAGGGCAGAGAAGCCAGCACGGGGCTGCGCTGACTCACTGGCTGCCACCTTCCCTTAATTCCCTCCAGGTGCCCAGCCTGTACAAAGCCACTACACACACTCAGGGCAGCGAGTCTTTGTCCCTCAGCTAATCCTGCAGGGAAACCCTCAGAGCCACACCCAGACATGCATTGTACTAATCTCAATCCATTTGAGCTGACAGCAGCTTGAGCTCACTACGGCAGTCTCTCTCAGTGCTCTGCGATCACCCGGTCCTTGTCCTCAAGGGGCATCCGTGCAGACCGTCGGCCTCTTTCAGTTCTGCCCTGGGAGTCTCCTCATAAGGATGCCCGTCCTAGTGGATTAGGGGATAGCCCACTATACTACAATCTCATCTTTTTTTTTTTCTTAAAACAAAAGATTTGTTGTGTCTGTGTGCCTGAGTGTATGTATGTGTGCCATGTGCACGGAGGTTCTTATGAAGGACGGAAGAGGGCCTCAGATCCCTAGGAACTGCAGTTACAAGTGGTTGTTAGCTGACCTCTGTGGGTGTTAAGAATGGAATCTGTGTCCTCGACAAGAACATCAGGTGCTCTTAGCTGCTGAACCATCTCTCCAGCCTTCAGCTAGGTCTTTACCCACCACCAGTTTGTATCCATGTGGAACGTTATTAGATAATTTGTTCTGAATCACGTGTGTTATTTGCATAATAGTAGGAAAGTTCCTTTTAGTTCATTTTTTATTGATTTTATTGACCTATACATTTTCCTCTGTTCTCCTCCCTTCCTCTACCCTCTCCTTCTACCCTCTCCCATGATCCCCATGCTCCTAATTTGCTCAGGAGAGCTTGTCTTTTTCTACTTTCCATGTAGATTAGATCCATGTATGTCTCTCTTAGGGTCCTCATTGTTGTCTAAGTTCTCTGAGATTGTGAATTGTAGGCTGATTTTTCTTTGCTTTATGTCTAAAAGCCACTTATGAGTGAGTACATATGATATTTATGTTGGGTCTGAGTTACCTCACTTAATATAATGTTTTCTAGATCCATCCATTTGCCTGCAAATTTTAAAATGTCATTATTCTTTTCAGCTGTGTAGTACTCCATTGTGCAAATGTACCACATTTTCCTTATCCATTCTTTGGTCAAAGGGCATTTAGGTTGTTTCCAGGTTCTGGCTATGACTAACAATGCTGCTATGAACATAGTTGAGCACATGTCCTTGTGGTACAATTGAGCATTCTTTGGGTATATACCCAAAAGTGGTATTGCTGGGTCTTGAGGAAGGTTGTTTCCAAATTTTCTGAGAAATCGCCAGAAGGGAGAAGGGGGAAGGGCAAAGGGGGGGGGGCAGAGATATCCAAAGAGGCTGTATCAGTTTGCACTCCCACCAGCAATGCAGGAGTGTTCCCTGTATCCCACATCCTCTTTAGCATAAGTTGTCATCAGTATTTTTGATCTTGGCCATTCTTACAGGTGTAAGATGGAATCTCAGAGTTGTTTTGATTTGCATTTCTCTGATGACTAAGGATGTTGAGCATTTCCTTAAGTGTCTTATAGCCATTTTAGATTCCTCTGTTGAGAATTCTCTGTTAAGGTCTGTACTCCATTTTTTTTATTGGATTATTTTTTCTTTTGATGGCTGATCATTTTCTCATGATTTCTGTTTCTATAATTCCCTTGGCTTGTGTTTTCTTATAATCTCATCTTTACCAATTATATCTCTGCATTCTACTTCCAAAAAAGTCACATTTGAGGGTGATTGCCCTGCTCAACCAAGGATGCATGCAATGTTGCAGTGTTTCTGGTATGTGGACTTTCCATTGCTGCTTCCACTAAACCCAGCCAGAATTTTAGTTGTGGGAGCCTATGCTGGGGACAACTTCAAAAACTACATACATACTAGTGCATGTACAAGCCTGAATGTCTTACACATGCACATTTTCAGCAGTGGGTGTCCAGGGCCTCTAAGCTGCCTTTGAAGAAATGTTAGGACCTCTTAAGACAGTGGAAGTTAAAAGATGCCAAACCTCTAGATCGCCAGGAAATGATGTGAGATCCCTCTCTGTATGCTGAGAATACCATTGGTTAATAAAGGACTGCTTTGCGCCTATAGCAGAGCAAGGAAGGAAGAGCTTAGCAGAGAAAACTAAAGTGAATTCTGGGAGAAAGAAGGGTGGAGTCAGGGAGAAGCCATGGAGTTGCCGGAGACAGACAAGCTGAAACTTTGCTGGCATGACCTCATGGCAATGCACAGATTAATGGAGATGAATTAAATTAAGATGTAAGAGTTACCAATAAGAAACTAGAGATAATGGACTCAGCAGTGATTTAAATAATATGGCTTCTGAGTGATTATTCTGGGGCAAAGTTGTCAGGAACCAACAAGCAGCCTCCTCCAACAAGGAGAGAAAGTGAGGAAAAGAAAACATGGCATAGGAGAGGAAGGAGGAATGAATACGGTTCGTGCCTCAATCTCAGGATAAAAGAAAGTGGGAAAATGGCCAGATGTTGGCCCAATGAGACTAGGAGGCACAGACAACTTGGGCACAATGTCAACTTTAACCTACTTTGGCAACCACTGCACGTACGAGGTCCTAACGACAGCCCCCTTTGTCTTAGTGAGGTGAGGCGCACACAGTCCACACACACAGAACTACACACTTTGAGTTTATAATACTGCATATTTATATTGTTCCCTAGTTCCTTATTCGAGATATCACTTATTCAGTCCTTTGCAGTTCTTCTTTTAATTATTTTGTTTCGAGATATCCTCAAGAGTTTTGTAAGGCACACACACAGGTCTTGATACAATGTTTATACAAGACTGTGCTAACTCTTATCATTTGCTTTGCTGTTTCATTTTTCTAGAATGAATCACTCATTCTAGTTTTCATTGGTCTATCATCTATCTATCTATCTATCTATCTATCTATCTATCATCTATCAATCATTTATCTATTTTATCTATCTATCTATCTATCTACCTGTTGATTTATTTTAGTGAGCATTTACCTTTTATCGAGGCCTACTTTGAGTATTTTGAAAGAATAAAGCCATTTAGTTCTCACAAATCCATTGCCCCTACATTTTATATGAGGAAACTGAGACATAGAGAGGATGGGTAACCTCAACTCAGAGGCATTCAGTGAGACATGCTCCAAGTCATGACTATCTGCTTGTAACAACATTGGTTCATTTTGAAGACCTGAACACGGAACATGTACAACCACTAATGTGGATGAGAACATCTGGCAGTCACACATTGACATGGAGACACTTTTAAGAGTAGATAGCACGTAAACAATATGATTGTGCATGGTAAATTATGAGCCTGCTGTGCACACCCTGTGGAGAGAGACACAGAATCACTCCTCCATTTCCCACATGCTCAGCCCTATGCCTAGTGGCGTAGACATGTCACTTCTGAGTTAATATTCTAATAAAGGAAAACACATGCAAACAAC